CAGGCCCGGACCCAGAGGAGTCACGGCCACTACCCGTGTTTTGAGTGATGTGTCTGCAGTTCCCTTCTGACCCGGCCTTGCTGGGACGGAGATGCTCCTGTCACGGGAGGGGTTCCACCAGCTGGCACATGGTGTGGTGGACCTGCCCTTGGGTGCTGTGAAACCCAGGTCTCACACCAGCTTCCCCTTCTCCCCCACCCACCCATGAGATCCCACAGACCCTTCTGGCACCTCCCCACCCAGGCCCACCCTGGAAGGTGATGACAGCTGCCAGCTGGGCCCTGAGCTCATCAGTTTATCACTAACAGCCTACAGGGAGCCCTCTGGCAGTGTCTGAGCTGGGGACCTTGGAGGCTGCTGAGCAGTTAGCACCATCCCTGTAACCCTGAGGGGCTGTCAGAGTCTCGATAATGAAGACCTTAAGGGGAGAGGCCTAGGGTTGGTCCAGTCAGGAAGGCCTGAGGGTCTGGGTGGACCTGGGACTGGGAGGGCAGGTGGGCAGGCATTGCCAGTGCCCCTGCCCAGGGCTAACGCCCTACCCTGTCCTCCCTGGCAGACCCCCAGTTCAGGTAGACCCCCCCCCCACCTCCTTGGGGACTCCTCAGGGTCTCTATCAGCTGATACCATGTAGAATGTGCTGGAAAAAACAAATGAGTACTTAAACAGACTTGGGAAGGGGTCATGGCAGTGGTGCCCCTGTGTAGGAGCCGACTGAGCCTGTGTTCAATGCGGGTGGGTGAGGAGGTGGCACGTGACCTCCGTGGTCTGGCAGGTGGGCAGGGTGGGGCCTGTGCTCCCACCTTCCCTGTCAGGGACCCTCATGCCTTTGTGGTCCACTGTGGGCCGTGTCCCCAGCTGTCAGGGATCCCCGTCCCTGTCTTCCCTCAGCCGTGTTTTCAGGACTGCATTTGCTGCCTTTTCTGGGTTCCAGTTTTGGGGGTGTGGTTACCAAGGTTACCACTGCAGCAGGATTGTACAGGTGTGTCCTGTTCATGGTTTTGTTTTCCACATTTGTGCAGTGATTGGGCTGGAGTTACTCTGATACAAGGAGCGAGATGGGATCTTGGCTTCCCTTTCCCAAGCAGCGAGCTCCTATCCCACCCCATTCGTCTGGGTGACCCGCCTTTCCCCACAGACTCGTAGCCCCAGCCACAGGCCCACGTGCCCAGTCTGTTTGTGTCCTGCAGCAGCCCCCGGAACTGATGTGTGATAAGATGCACCTGTGACAAGTCACAGTTTCATGCATTTTGACACTTGTTACAACTGGGCACCCAGCACCACAGTCAGATAGAGAACAACCTCTGCATGACCCCAGAAAGCTCCCTGGAGCTCCTTCTCTTTAAGTTTTTATTTATTGTGGTAAGATGCACATAAGAAAATTTACCACCTTAACCCTGCTTAAGTGCACAGCTCAGGGGCGTTACGCACATTCATGCCCTTGTGCAGCCATGCCCCCCTCTCCATCCCCCCCTCCATCCCCACTTGCTTGTCTTCCCAGATGGACACTGTCCCCTTCACTCCCTCAGTCGCTCTCCCCCACTGTCTGCTTTCTACCTCTGCGGCTCTGACTCCTAACGTCTCATATAAGTGGAATCGCAAGTCCGTTGTCCTTTTATCACTCAGCATTGTGTCCTCCGGGGTCATCCATGTCAGAGCAGGAGTCAGAATTCTCTCCCTTTGTGAGGCTGCCTAAGGTTCCACTGCATGAGAGCCCACACCTTGCATATCCTTCCATCCGTTCACGGACGCTTGGGTTATTTCCACCTCTTGGCCGTTGTGACTGATGCTGCTGCGGATGTGGGTGTGCAGATCTCTTCGAGTCCCTGCTTTCAGGTCTTTGGGTGCATGTCGTTAAACTCTTGGAGGAGCCCCATCCTGTTTCCCACAGCGGCCGCACCGTTTTTTATTCCCACCAAGACTGCATAGGGCTCCAGTTTCTCCATGACCTCAGCATGCCCACCGTTTCTGGGTTTCAGTAGTGGCTTTCCCTGTGGGGTGCACCTTTGGTGCTTAGTCACCCAACCCAACAGCAACCCCTGGCTGCCTTGTGCACTCAGAAGTCCAGGGTGGGGGCGTCTGCAGACCCTAGAAGAACAGTGGTGCTGGGACTGGGAGCCATGAGGATGGGTGATGGGAATGTCCTAACCAATTGAGGTGAAGGTTGCTCAGGGCTGTGAATGGCACTAAAACCTCTCAGTTATACACCTTCAATGGGTAAATTGTATGGTGTGTGAATTACATCTCAATGAAGATGTTTAAAAACAGGAACAGCCGGGAATAAAAGGTCTACTAGGGGCAGACTCATGAGGCTTGTTCCCCTGAGCCATGGGGGCCTCCTTCCAGACATCGAGGGGCCACTGCCCAACCCTGAGCGCCGCACGTGGGCGCCTCCCCAGGAGGAGTGTGAGGTGGGGACACTCCTATTTGCCTGACCCCAGTGGTCCACTGTGCCCTGGCACTCAGTATATAATGGTGGCCGTGGTCCCCAGACCTGTGACTTGTGTGGCCCGGGGTGGTCCGAGGCATGGCAGGTGGTGTCTTACGGGCCATGGCCATGGCTGTGGGTGAGGGGAACCATGGGCTCTGCTCCATCATTCACCACCAGGCCCAGTGGAGTTCAGGTTCCCAAGTCCCAGCCGCCACCTGGCAGGGCCACGCTGAACCCTCTCATCACTGCTGAGCAGGGAATCCATGGTCCTGTGTGGCCATGTGCTTATGGCCAGGCCTGGGCGTGGCCACCCTCCTATGTGGGAGCTGTGGGCTCAAAAGTACATGCCCAAACCTGATCCTTGGGCACCAGGGCCAGGTGTACCCTCTTTGACTCCCCTCTCTCTTCCAGGCGTCTGTGGGCTCCGAGAAGCTCTTTGCCCCAGCAGCCGACAGAGGTAAGTGTGTTTCGTGGTCAGGGCTCCAGCCTCCGGGGAAGGACAGGATGCTTCTAAAGTCAGCAGGGGGTCTGGGCTGTGACTGAGGAAGTGTTCCTGAGAGAAAATCCCGAGGAAAGACGGGGAAGCCAGGATCCGAGCCTCTGTCAGAGCCAGGTGGCCCTGGCCTGGGCACCTGCCACCTGCCGATGTTCCCAGGGTGGGGTCCCCTCGTCCTCCCCAGGCTCATGGGCTCGGGTGGTTCACACCTGCGGAAGCTCCCTGCCTTTCTGGCTGGCCGCTGTGGGCACCGCTGCATGTGTGTGGTGCACTGAAATGAAATAGGTCAGACTCCCTCTGCCGCACCTGCCCCGGGCTTGTGGCCCTGCGAGGACAGGCAGGTGTGCAGCATCCCACTGTCCCAGGCAGCCGTCCTGGCCGCCCGCCCCGAGGCCAGGGCGGGCGCTGTGACCAGCCTCAGGCCTGGCTGTGGCCCCAAGGGGGCGTCACCAGGCCCAGTGCAGAAAAGGGGCCTCTGCTCTGAACGTCCACCCGGATGTGATTGAACAGAACAGGCCTGTGGCATGTGCAGGCGGCATCCACAGCAACGGGTCCCACTGGCCCTGACACTTGTTCTGGGGCCAGAAGCCTGGAATTACGGAGTCAGGGCCTCTGCTGCACCTTGGTCTCCCCCTCTGTAAAATGGGGTCACAACATCCCGAGCTGGGGTTGCTGCGAGAACACTCCAGGGGCCCCGGGGAGTAGGCGGTGGGGGGCTGGGCCCGGCTGCGGCCTCGCAGACTGTGGGCGCATCCAGCGGGGCCTCTCTCCGCAGGCCCAGCGCTGGGCGAGAGCCCTGAGGCCAAGGCCGGCGCAGCGGCGCCCAAGGTCTCGGGCCTGGAGCGCA